TCCTCCATCGTCATCATCGTACTAAGTAGTGTCATCATCGTCATCAGACAGCAGCAGCACGTTCCTCCTGGACTTCGTCATGATGGAGAACACGAGATTATTACCAGAGCTTGCTTAATCGGGAAGTGCTGGCATTAATCTTGCTGGCTCATCTTCACGAATATCCGCCGCATTACCGCCACCTTCACCGCCACCGCCGTCATCAACTGTGTCACAGTACAAGGCAAGCAAGAATTCGCCAACATGTCTGAACACTGAACCAGCAACCCTAAGCCCCAGAACCCAAAACCAGCACAACACTAAACCCAAACCCAAAGGGTCCAAGTATCATCATGGTATATACTTAGACCCCCCAAAATGCACTATAAGTATATACCAGAATGATACTTGGAGCCTTTGGGAAAGCCGTAGCATGCAGGTCTCCACGGCTCGCTCGCAAATCGGCACGGGTGCGCTGTACAACGCGGAGAACTTCCTGAAGGCGCGCGGCGCGCTCGCATTTCCCTACGTACACCTTGAACCGTAACGGTTCTTGATAAAGGAGTCTACGGTTTATAGGGGGTTTAGGCTAAGCTTTAGGGTTTAGGTTTTAGAGGGTTCTGGCAGTTTGAACAATCTTTAACAGCCGCCTTCAGTATGTTGTTGCTCCGGTTTGTGCTCAGCACTTTTTTTAATTCTCAGTGTCAAAACCGGCTGCGGGTTGCGAGCTCCGAGATCCTACCTCCTGGGTCTCGTCGTAGCCAATCTTTGAGGTACCGGGTCCTATCCTCAGGCGATGACGATGACAGGTTTTTGTAGGGTTTAGGGGTAGATGCCCTAAGCCCCAAATACCCCAAACCTTAAACCCTAAACCCTAAGCCCCAAATGCCCCGAACCCTGACCCCGCAGCCCCAGAACCGACACCCAATCCGAGTCCTCGGCTCCAACCAGCCCCGAAGCCCAACTGCAGGGCAAGCTAGCCCAGTAGGGCTCCAGTGATAGTGGGTTTAGGGTTTAGGGTTACCTAACAATCGTGGGTTTAGGGTTCAGGGTTACCAAAAAAGTAGTGGGTTTAGGGTTCAGGGTTACCGAAAAAGTAGTGGGTTTAGGACTTAGGGGTACCTAAAAACAGTGGGTTTGGGGTGAAAAGAGTTGAGGGGTTGCATACTACATGTCGAGAAACTAATTATTTAGGCAACTGGAGCCCTAGGGCAATCCACGGAACCCGTGCAAAGGTGCACGAGTAAGGACCGCAGGGGGGGTGTATTATCACTACGCTACACCCGACACAGCCTAAAGACCTAACCCCACAACAGAAAGCCCTAAAGCCGTAATCAAGACGGACCTACCGCATACAAACAGCAACGCATAAAATAATCCCTGAACCGGACCGTAAGCCCTAAACCGTAAATCCCTAAACCTAATAAATAACCCTAAACCCTAAACCCTAACCCCTCCCTAGGCCCCCCTAAACCCGAAGCCCTAAGCCCTAAACCCTAAACCCTAACCCGAAGCCCTATACCCCAAGCCCTAAGCCGTCAACCCTACAGCCCAAGGCGAAGCCTAGTCCCTCAACAGGTCGACCTGGTGCCACAAGGACAGCTCTGGCTGCGAATCGCTGATGTCCGGCAAGAGGATGCCTAGAAGCACTCGCCCGACATTTTGAGTTGAATGGGTTGTAATTGTACCCTTTCGGAGGGTTTTTGTGGTTGAGTCCTCTGTTGTTCGTAGATTCAGCGGTTTAGACGTTTTAGGTTGGAGTTTAGACTCGTACACAAACCCGAGTTAGCAGGTAGGGAACGAATTCAGGTTACTTGGTATGTAGTGTATTAGATTGCATATGCACTTATCGGTTTGTGTTGGGAGGTTCCTTATACTACAGTAATGGTATCGGGCCAGGCTATCCTAAGCGTTCCGACACCCTCAAACTTGGAACCTCTCAACCCTAAGCCTCGAATCCTGAAAGCTCATTTTCGAACCATTCGAACACTTAGCCAAGTAACCCCATACTACCCTTATGTGTAAGTTCATAAACCCTAAACCTTCTGTATAAACCCAATATCTCTTTTTTAGGGCTCTTGAGCTCGAGCGAGAGCCATCGATCCAATGAGACCCCTGTCTTCACAACGACGTTTAGGACTTTAGGGTTTTTAGAGTTTCGGGCTTGAGAATACGGTGTTGGGCTTAGGGTTTGGGGTTTGCATCCTCGAAAGCAAGGTGTTCCAATTACGTACGCACGAACCTTGAAAAATGGCGGCGTGCCGCCTGCACCTGTTTGCTTTAACCTTCTCAGTAATTCAAATTTTATACTACATGGGTAATGATCCGGGTAGTGCCAATAAACCAAAAACCCACACTCTCCAGAGGATCGGTGTCATGAACTTCAGACACCACGCGGCTTAACTTTCGGGTCATTCTAAGATTCTAAGGTTTAGTTTTTAGGCTTTAGACCGTTTAATTTAGGGGTGCATGGAACTTGGGCCTTCGACCAGGATTATTGGCATCAGGGCTTAGAGAACCCACAGGGTCCATACACACTATATACCAGTATGGAATTAGGCCCACGCGGGATGGTCTTTTGGGACTTAATTCCATAATGGTAGTGTATATGGGCCGTCTGGGGAAACTTTAATTGCAGCAAATACCACTCCGTGGGGAATCTAGGGGAGTGGTTAGCTGTGGTAGCATTAAGTAGGGGCCCTATACCTTCGTACTATAGCAACCCCATTCATGGCTTGAGTTCTGTGGTACGACATAACTTATGGGTTTAGGCTCCGACATTTCGCTTCAAGCCATCCGCGATGATGTGTGGCTGTTTCACCGTGCTGCAAGTAACATAGGGGCTGAAATAATCGATAGTATTCACTATCATCTTCCCTGCATAACTGCAAACATGTGTTATCCCGAAACCATCTTCTGAATATTCTGGCGCTTACAGCAACCCTTAGAGAGGAACCCTTGGAAGAACCTTTAGACGACCCCATTCGCATCATTTAGGAGCATCCTAGAACCCCCTTGCAAGTAAAGACGCCTGCAGAAAAGTACCGAATTTACAGCGTTTACCCTAAACTCTAGAAGAGAGTTTTGATCATGAAGGCCCCTCTAGTAATTCACTGCTGCTGCTCCGGAGCATCTGCTGAGAAGACAATTCCATTAACCTGCAAACACTTATATGCGACTTTCTGACAATTACGCCTAGTTGAGTAACGAGAATCTAGGGTTCAGGCTTTATGCGTTGCGTAACAGGACGCATAGATGCAGGCTTTTGGGCCCATCGACCATGTACTATATGTAAGGCTTCTGGCCCCATGTTGAGCCTTGGGTTTAACATCAGGATTGAGTAGGGCTTAAGTTTAGCGTTTAGGAGCCCGCTGGCAGTATGGATGGAGGTTAGACAAAAACTAGGGGGTCCATTCTTCTGTCCAATCGCTCAGGGTTTAGGGTTCAAACCCTGAACTTCAAAAACCTAAACCCTACTTAAGCCCTAAAAGCAATAGGCCCTAGACCCTGGAACGATCGCATTCTGCCTGGAGTGACTCGGTTCTAGACTTGATGCTAGCAGAGCTGCTTCCTAAATGAGTCGCGGCATCGCAGGGCGCAGAATTATTATGTCCCAACCTAGAAGCCTTCAGCCCCAAACCCTTATCATTCGCAAAATCTCAGGCGCTCTGAGCCCCAATCTCTGCACTCCAACATCTCACAACAGTTGAGTTGGGATGCACGAGCCCATAGCCACGCCTAAAAGCATGCGATCGATTTGCCCCGTGTGAAGTGAGAGGGACAAGCCTGCGATTTTCATAAGCCCTGGCATATCAAAGGCAAAACCCTATAAAGCCTAAATCCTCACCCCTAAAGCCCTAAACCCTAAACCCTCTAATCCCTAAATCCCAAACCCTAAACCCTAAAGCCCTAAACCCGAAACCCTAGACCCTAAACCCCAAACCCTAAGCCCTAAACCTTTATCGACCCCTGGTCATAACCTCTGCCTTACTATACGGTTGATGATATAAACTTTGCATTACCCATAATATGGAATGTTCCATAATTCCCATAGATTAGGGTTTAGGGCCCCTAAACCCTACCTTTCCCTAAGCCACGAGATATCAGAGCCCAAAGCCCTAAGATTTATCCGCTGTGAACTCCTCGCCACCGACGAACTCCCAAAGCTGCGAAGCCCGGACTTCCAAGCGCACAGTACAATCTTCTACCATATCATAAAACGTGCGATTTCAATATCGTGTTTTTTTAAGCTTTATGGTATAGTTTTGTATAGTATAGTATGGTATAGTATAGTATAGTATAGCAAAGTATAGTACAGTCGAGCAGAAGATCCAAACACCGTCAACTCCAGCACCTTCACATACCCGGGGCTAAACCCGAAGCTGCCGTAGCCTGATTGCTGAATACCCAGAGCACACAATTTTGCACCCTCAAACTCGGAGGGTCCAGGCCTTAGAGAACCAACTGCGACGGCCGGAATCAAGTCACGATAGGAGATTTGTGGCCTTTATATCGGAGTTCCAGAAATCGAGTACCTAAGTACCCTCTTCAGAGGTCCTGATGACCAGAATCCTGCTAAAATTCATATTGTCATTATTTCTGAGGCCGTAGTAACCCCGACCGTATGACCAACTAGACCCTGTAATGAAGGGGCATGATCAATTCAAAGACTTGTTTATAGTCCAGGAAAGAAGCGATACCAGAGTCAAACCCAAAACCCTATTCCATTCTAGTTTGTAAAGCCCATATTTTACCCTAAACCCCTACACCCTAGACCCCCAAACCCGAAACCCTCAACCCAAAATCCTAAACCCTAAAGCATACAAATCCTAAACCCTAAACCCCTAAAACCCTAAGTCCTAAACCCTAGACCCTAAAACCCTAAGTCCTAAAACCTAAAACCCTAAATCCTAAACCCTATAAACCCCAAAACCCTAAGTCCTAAACCCTAGACCCAAAGGAGTTCAAAAAAAAAGAAGCCCCGAAATCGACCCCGACATGGCCTCAACGGTGCGGCGGCCATGGCCTCAAAGCGCCAGGAGCGCTTGGACTTCGAGGCCGCCTTCCTTGGTGTCCTTTTAGGGTTTGGGGTTTAGGGTTTAAGGTTTCAGGTTTTAGGGTTTTAGGGTTTGGGGTTTTAGGGTTTGGGGTTTAGGGTTCAGGGTAGGGTTTAGGGTTTAGGGTTTGAGGGTTTTAGGGGTAGGGTTCAGGGTATGGTTTAGGGTTTTCGGGCTTATAGGGTTTAGGGTTTTAGGGTTTTAGGGTTTGGGGTAGGGTTCAGGGTAGGGTTTAGGGTTTTAGGATTTCAGGGTTTCGGGTTTTAGGGGTTTAGGGTTTAGAGGTCAAATAAGGGCTTTACAAACTAGCTTTAAGGGGCCTTGAGATCCCAATAGGGGCTTGAATTAAGGAATACTGTCCTTTAAGGGATGTATGAGGGATCTATAGATTTTTAGGGTTTAGGGGATTCTGATATCGGTTGATTAAGGCATATACCTTAAATCATAAGATTATGCCCCCTGTAGTTTAATTTAAGGTATCTATATTCCTTTAGTACTGGGTATTGAGATCTCTGGGTGTACTTTTCGGGGCCTTAATTTAAGCATAACCTATACTAGTCCTAAGGGCTCTTCTAACAGGCTCCCTTGAAGGGGATGAAGGCCCCTACAGGAGCTATGTTGTTGTTTTTGTATGTGTCTGCGCATGTGTATGTGTTTCGTTTGTGCTGTTTCGTGTTGGTGCGTTTGGATCCTGCGTTGTTATGTTTGGTTCGTGCGTGTTTGTGCGTTGTGTCTTTGGTTTTCATCATTGATTTCGTTGGTTTGTCTACTCCGTCTTGAATAACTCAGTGTTGTTTCTGCTGTCGTACATGTTTGCTGCGACTGGTGTCGGTCTTGTACAGGTCGGACGATGTCATTACTTCGGTTGTGCTATGTTCCGCACTTTCGGCCATCACAATGTGGTATCGTGCGCAACACCGACTATCCCGGATCCTGCCTGCAGTGGTGTCATAGCCTCGTTGTATGGTACTTTGCCCACCGCGAAGGCCGGCAGCTCTGCATGTTGTGCATGAGGGCCAGCTTGTGCATGGGGGGAATAATTACGGACCAACATTACCGTATTCCCTTATAAGCCCTGTATAGTTAGTTATAGCAATAAATACGTCCAGTTTATAATGCGAATATTCCGGCCCCTACGTTGGACACCAAATCCCCAGAAACGCCCTCAACCCGAAACCGCCCTTTCTCCATTGCGAGGCCAACGACTACTACGCCTACCTCAACCTCGATGTGCGGGCGAATGACGCGGAGGTGCAGAGTTGTACTTGAGAGAAGACGCTTGGTTGCTTTTCCCAAACCTTCAACCCTACCTTCACCACCAAGGGACAACCTCGTTCGGGAAAGAAGGGAAGTCACATTCAGGAACCCTCAAAAGGTTTTCGCGGGGTAAAGGTAAGCCCTAAACACTACACCCTCAACCCTAAGCCTTTCCTGTACCCCGAAGGGAATCGCAATAAAGGCGCTCAACAGCAGTTACGCCCTAAACCATGCAGAAACACATGCCCGAAAGGAAGCCCTGCAAAATCCTTCAAGCTTTATTACCCAGAGGGTCCATGTATACTACGTCATGAGATATGGCTTTGGGGATTTAGACGACCCACTTACGAAGGCTTAGGGTCGAATGCTCTGGGAGGGGGATTGAAGGGGGCTTTGTGGTGTATCGTGAGGCATGGGATAGTAAGAATAGGTCTCTTGTATTGGACTGCACCTTTAGATGGACTCTAACCCGCAGGCTCAAAGTAGCCCAAGGGCCTTGTATAGTATGGTCTTTGGGCCCTTTAAGATATGAGTCCTTAGAGCCTAAGGGTAAGGGGCTGCAAGAACTGATTGTTCAAGCCCGGCCGGCCAGGTTTCGGGTTTAGGTGTGTGAGTTAAACTTGATGGATCGGTGTACTTTAGGATGACTACCACGGTTGATGATGTTAGGGTTTAGGGTTTAGGGTCCTGAGTTACCGTAATGACCCTAGATCATCGGAAGTATGGTAGATTCGTTATTATGGGTATTGCAGGAATTATATCATCAGCCGTATTGTCAACTATTGTTATTCGTAGCATAGTACTAGCACTAGCAGCCGGCATGCGTGACAGGTCAAACGACACTTCCGACAGTTGGCCCTACAGCGGAGGGCTCAGCACGTGGGGATTTAGGAGTGTATGCATTCCAGGGCCAGAGGTTACCTGTACCCTCTAAACCCAATCTTGTTGGTGCTTTCATTATATATGGGAGTTTTCCGAAAGCAAGGGACCCTAATATAGTACCCAAACTAGTAGGATCCTCTTTACAAAGGACCCCAAAATAAAGTACCACCAAATTTTGGGACACTTCCGCGTATCCCTTCAAAGGTCGGTTATTTGGTTCGGGGAGGGGCTTAGGGCTACTAGGAGGCTCATGGGTAGTTATATAGTAGAAGCCAGAAAGTTGGAATATCATTGTCCTCATGCCCTTCAGGTAAAGTATAAGGGATCCTAGCACTAAACCTCCTAAACCCATGTTCCAACTTTCTGGCTTCTACTAAAAATGGAGTTATAAGTAGGGTAGCGGACTTATAGCTCCACTTATGTCTACCCATGAACCTCCAAGTAAGGCTTCAGGGCTGCAAGGTCGAGGTTTCAGAGTTTAGGGTTTGGGATTCAGGCCACGGTTTAGGGTTTAGGGGTTTAGGGGTTTAGGGTTTAGGGCTTAGGGTTTAGGGTTTAGGGGTTTAGGGTTTAGGGTTTAGGGTTTAGGGTTCTAGAGCAGGCTACGAAGAGCAAGCACAACAAGCAACCAAGGGCATTTGGAAAATGAGAACTAACCGTGGCAATATCCCGAAGCCAGCGGGGCGGAGGGGCATTCGGGCTTGGATCAGTGCCTTCTTTGTCTTCTGTCCATGCTGGCAGCATAGGTGGCATCCGGACAAGCACCAGGAAGGTGCGGCGAGGACGGTGGTTTGCAGCATGTAGTCATGCCAAACATGCATCCTACTTGAAGGATGCCCGTGCTGGTCATGATGACAATAACCACAATAATTGACCTCTGCTATTGTAAGTGAGTATTATGGATAATATAATATAGTTGCATTTACAAGTTGGTTGTGTCTACTTGCCTGGCTTGTCAATGTGTCAACTTGTAATCCTCTATGATGGCCGGGAGCATCATGCATCATTCTGATTTGTTTTCTGTCGCAAGACCCTGTGCAGAAGTTGGGACAGCTGAGAGAAAACACTTAAATCCGTTTTCTGCTAGGAAAATGTGCTGGCCGTCCATCATAGACTCAAGATCCTTCAGTAAGCGCTGCCATTCTAGGGCCCAAAACAAACCCTAAACCCTAAACCGCTAAACCCTAAGCCCTAAACCCTAAACCAAAACAAATTCCACAGGACCCGCGCCACAGATATTTTCCAACAGATCAACAAGGCAGTGACTTTGGAAGTCAATGGTCCGTTTGTAAACAAGAATACAGGAGACCTGAACAATTATAGAATACAGCTTGGGGGGTATACTGTACTATACTAGAAGGGTGTGTTACCACTGACTCTTTTGATCCAGATAGTATCGGGGTTTTGGAGGATGATGTAATAATTGAATTTTACAAGGTCTGTCTTGCAGATGGGTCCCCTGGCAGCTGTTGAGAATGTTTGATGGATGGAGTCCGTCGAGGAAGGCGTCAGCGGGTTGCTCTCTTTCTTTTTGTGATTCTCTGTCTCTCTCTCTCTCTATTTCTCTCACGCTGAACCTTTCAAGTTTAAGGTCTACGGCTACGGTTAAGGGTTTCACTACAGGTCATTACGGTGATGAGTTCCTACGTCTGGCGGATCGGGCCCTTTCGAAGGATGTGGAGCAGTATCCGTCTTGTCTTTTTTTGTAAAGTGCAACTATTCCCAAAAGTATTTAGTTGTTCCCAGTGGGTTGCTGAACAGCCTTAACCCTAAATCCTAAACCCAGAAACTCCTGCACCCCAAGCCCTACGATTGATGATATAAATCCTGCATTACTTTAAGGACCCTAAACTATGGGATTCCTTATTATGGGTAATGCAGGGTTTTTATCATCAACCGTAGTACTCTAAACCCTGTAAACCTTAAACCCTAAGCCCCAGTACCCTAAACGCTAACCGTCCCTAACCCTATGGGTCCAAGTACCTAATGATCATATACTCTCTTGAATATTGAGCTACATGACTACTATCCTAAACCGAAGTACCTAAGGATTGGGTCCTTTGGACCCTTTGTGTAAACCCCTAAGTACCCCCTTGGGAGGGTGGTCCGTTTTCAGTATCCGCAAGCGCCCAGCGCTGCAAGGCCCATGAGGTGCTGTCCGACAGAGAGCCGGGGGCCTCTGGGGTTAAGGACTTTGTTTTATGGTTTAGGGCTTGCAGGTGTTAGGGTTTATAGGGCTGCTAGGGTTTGTAGGGTTTGTAGGGTCTGTAGGGTTTTGGGTTTAGGGTTTAGGGTAGGTATCGATTTGGGATAGCTTTTAATGAGAGCCCTAGTTGTAAGTAGTTTTGGGGGCTGAGGAAATCGACGCCTAGCGTGTCTGTCGGCTTTGAGTGCTTCCGGGGTTTTCGGGATTTAGGGCTTTAGGGGTTTAGGGTTCGGGCTTATCGGGTTTAAATCATGTTTTTAGGGTTTGGATTGCGGGTAGGTTTGTTGTGTGCTTTAGGGCACGCTTCGGCACACTCATCCGTAAGCTCTCCCGCACGATTTGGCTTCGCTGCTTCGTTTTTTGATATGGCAGAGTTGACCAAGCGCCTGAACCAACACTGCCAGCGACAGTAAGCGCCTTTTGTCACGAACCTCGAACCTGCTGCAAAGTCGGCATCATGATAGCAATAGACATAAACGACACAGGACATCAATACCTGATTCGCATGATGAGTTACATTCAAGAGGCATCGGCTTGGCATGGGTGATTGCTTTGCTGCCTGCAGCTGCTCTGAATTCATGCATGCAACTAAGGCTCCGATCTCGATACGATGCCGTATGGTATCAAAAGTCAGCTGCTCAGCCATTGCTCCTTTGACGTTCCTAAATGCGCAACCAAATTAAATGCCTCTGTAAAGAGTAGGGTCCAGGGACGCTCTGAGTGGACCCCGTGCTCGGGGTAGCCACGTAGGGTTTCGGGTTTCGAGGTTTAGGGGTGCAGAGCTTATGGCCTAGAGGTTAGAGTTTCTGGTCCCTGTTTCACCACATGCCTCTGGATTTAACATGTGAAAAAACCGCGACTCTTGTTCACATCGGGGTTTAAGGTGATTTAACGCCCTAAACCCTAAACGGCTGTGAGTTGCCACGACCACAGCAGAACAAGAAGCCCACACTCAGGGTTCAGGACTTAGGGTTTATGGTTCAGGGGTTGGGTTTTAGGGTTCAGGGCTGAGGGTTTAGGGTTTGGGCTTTAGAGTGTATAATTTCCAAAACTACTGAGTACGCTGCTGCCGGGAAATACCCAAGCTGAAATGCAGCCGCTTTCTGTGCTGAGCAACTTAGTAGCCGAGTGGATACACTTTACATTTTGGGGGGTAGTATTACCCACTATACAACTAAACGTGTACACTTATTGGGGGTTTATAATCTCAGCACGTAAGGCAAAGAGGACCGAGACCAATTTGTCGGTCTAAGACTGTGCTCCTTGGAACTTCCCCAAGGGTCCAAAGGACCCAATAATCAGGTACTTGGGTTTAGCTCTATAAGGGGCTACTATACGGGATACTATAAGGGTTCTATATAGTATAGGGGCCTAATAATTAGGAACTTGGGTTTAGGATAGTAGTTATGTAGGTTAATGTTTGGGAGAGTACCCGGACCCTTAGGGCTTTGCTTTGGAGGCGCTGGCACTGGGTTCGCGAGAGTTCGAGACGACAATCGACTGGCTTGACATCTGGTTTCCAGGTCAACTCGGTTTAGGGTTTAGGGTTTAGGGTTTTCCAGGTCAACTCGGACAGGTGCATCACTGTCGAAACTATACGAACCAAATCCTCATCTCCGCCAAACAGACGCTCAAATACAGGGTTTCCGAAGACCTCCAGCTCATATTACCTGCCCTGGGAGATCCCAAGATTCATCAAGCTCGTCTGCGATGGGTTCACACCATCGAGAGGCGAGCCTCTTGATATCCAAATAGTGCAAGTCGTCAACGAGAGCGGGGCCACGGATGTGCTGTTACTGGACATGCCAGCAGTCAGTTCCGTGCCGATGGCCCAGAAAACACCTACCCGCATCCTCGAAGGGCGCGGGAATTGATTGCACTTAGAGGGGTAAAGTGGAGCATGAAGAGGATTTGGTCTCGCATCAACACCTTCTGCCACCCCGAGCTTTGAGCTCACAAGGGCTGGGGCCCCGCACTCTACACCCTGCGATCAAGAAAACCTACACTCATACATGCGACATGCTAGAAACGGACCAAAACCGGTAGACCCTAAACCCTAAACCCAGACCCTAAGAGCCCTGATACGTGTAAGACCTACGCAGCACTTATGGACAGACTTCGAGCTCGCTCTCTGCAAACCCTTGTGGGTTTAGGGGTAATGGATAAGGAGATAGGGACAACGGCTCAGGAGAAACTATGCAGAACGGTCGATATGTTATGGGGCTTAGGGATAAGGGATGAGGAAGGATACAGATAGCGGTTTAGGGGAAGCTATGGTGTTCGATGTGCCCCTGAGATTCCAGCTATGTAGAGTAGGTTTACTCGTTACTGGTATTCTATGGTGTATCCAGGGCAGAAGAGAACTTGTTACTGGGCTTGGGCTCCCAGTAGCAATAGGATAACTATGAATGCATGCCGAGTGATCAGGTTAAGAGTAGAGTCAGTGCATCTTTGCACATATCGTCAAAGAATGTATCTGCAGTTAAAGATCCAGATCTGTACATGCAGTGTGGGACCGATCGTCAACTTCCTTCCCGAAACCACAAATGCAAAGGAGCAACATCGGGATTTCGATGTTTGCTGCACACATTTTTCACACATATACCAACCTTCCTACATACCCCTACCTGTGTACGGAGGGGCGGCAGGCAGGAAGGGAGGGAGGTGTCTGCCTACGTGCTGATATGCTGATCCGCTCATGTAGGTATGTGTTGATTAATGCCAGTGGCCGTATTCTGAGGCAACCCAGGCATCCAGGTCCTCTGAATTAGTAGGTTCATATGTTATCTACCCCACTAACCTATTGAATAGGTAACGCTAAACCCGAGCCGCCACAACCCCTAAACCCTAAACCCCTAAACTCCAAACCCCATAGACCCCTAAACCCCTGAACCCAGACCCTAAACCCAAACCGCCTAAACTCCAAACCCCTAAACCCCTTTTTAGGTAGCCGAAGCCCCAGAGCAGCCCAGGCATCAAGGGCGCCGTCGGGCGGTGCCCGAGTGGGCCCGGAAGGCGGATAGCTGGCCTTGAGGGCTTCGAAACTTTGGGTTGTTATTGTGGCATGTATATATATATATATATATATATGTATATATATATATATATATACATATGTATATATATATATATATGTATGTATATATTGGAATTTCGATTACTTTTATTATTGCTATTATGATTATGATTATCGCTAATACTTGTTAGTTAGTATCAGTATTCGTATTCGTGTTAGTATGAGTATTTGTATTGGCATTAGTATTCTATACCATACATGATATACCACATGCACAACATGTGTATGTATGTATATCTATATCTATATCTATATCTATATATGCAAAAACATTTAACGGGCTTGAAGAGGGTTTAGAGGCTCACAGTGGCTGGGGTGCTTGAGCGTTTGGTCTTCTGCCGTTGGAGGTTAGAGGGTTTTAAGAAAACGGGTCGATTTCCAAGGTATCGAGCTAGATAATGGCACTATCACGATGCAAGTAGCAGTCTTTGGCCCTTAATGCCTGAAACAAGCCCTAAACCCAAATCCCTAAACCCCGAACCCTAAACCCCTAAAGAGGAGGTCTTAGAAGTGCTGCGACATGGACTGCAGTTCACGAGGAGACTTTTTGTTGTCGCTGCCGTTATCTGTTTGATCTGTCTGTAGGGTTTAGGGATTTAGGACTTAGGGCTGATTCATGACCATGAGTATTCTGAACCAGCAGACTGAAACCATTGAAGCAATACGGAAAGCTCCGAGGGGAATGTCGCCATGTTACACCGGACCGTGGGAGTTTGAGAAATGAGCAACCTTCGTATTGAACCGACCCTCGTTCAGTTTAAGGTACCCGCGAACAACACAACCTGCATATGAGTCTGATTGTGGAACCCTGCGAAGACCCGCTGTCTACCCTGACGATACTTCTAAGAGCCCAATAAACACATTATCAAAAACGATCGAAACCCTGTATACTATAAACCCTTGACCGTAAACTCGGTAAACCCTTGACCTGAAAACCTACGTACCCTACATACCCGAAACCCCACAACTCCAACTGCACTATATACCGTAAGCCTTCAGCCCGGTATACCTTGAGCCCCAAATAGGTGGCGGCTGGCCGCAGTGGAAGCGTCGAGGTCCGTACCGACTCTGGCAGTACGGAAGGCCGCGGATCAGTAAGAGAGCGAGAGCGAGCGGCGTTCGGAAGGATTCATACATGCATGTCTACATCAACCTGCTTGCGCCGAATGGACCATGTCTCACAAGGCCAACAACTGCCAGACCCCCAAAGCCCTGAAACCCCAAAGCGCAGCAAGAGCCAGTTAGCAAGGACATGGAAGAGACATGTCGTCATCATTGTTGGCTTTGCAGCAAGAGACCCTAAACCCTGAAACCTAAATCCTAAACTCCAAAGCCTGGAGCCTTAAGGGTTTGGGGGCTTAGGGTTTGGGCTTTACGGTTTTGGGGTTTAGGGAAATCCCCTGAATTCCGAGAAGTTTTGTGCCAGGATTTTGGCCTCAAGGCCTTCGAGCAGGCACCGTGGATCGTGGCGGCGTAGCCTTGCACTGAGCATCGGCACTTCTGGGGTCGCCAAAGACACCAGGGAAACAACAAGGCAACTGTACATGGCTTCGCTTACATACAGATGTACTATACAGATGTGTATATATACATTTATTATGTAAGATATGTATATATACATTGTATAATATATAGATAGAATCATGTACAAGCATAGAGAGAGACATATACTATGTACATCTGTTGTATAGGTGCACGAACAATACTGGACAACGAGATACTGTACTTACCCACAAGCAGTTCAAGCATGTGCTTATATGTATGTGTGCATAGTTATGCACCTACATAATCAGCGAGAGTCTCGTGAATTGTCGAGTGTAGTGTGTGTATACACGTCTAGATATATAGATGGAGGTTGGTACATAGGAACGTCACAAGTCACTGCACAGGTGTCCGTTGTATGTAGTGTCTGGGGTTTGTCTAGGGATCGAGGCTTTCAATATGCCCCACCCAAAAAGGCTGATTGCACCCGAAAACCCGATGCCCCTTACGGCCAGACCAACTTTCCGTACACAGGTTCGAAGCGTGATGAGGCTTCAAGCCCCCAAGCCATACATGCTCGGTGTGTGAATATAGACATGTCAGGGTTTCGACATTTAGGCTTTGTGCCGCAAAATCTCAAATCCTACAAGCCGGGGCGATGCAGCAGCATTTCGGCCCCGAACTCAAAACCCACAACCTTGAACGGGCAAGCACCCGGACCAGCAGCGCATACCCAAACCTTTTGCCCCTAAACTCCTCTTGTTTGGAAAGCCAGACAGTCCTTCAGTGCATTATTCTCGATCAGGTTAGATCGTGTTCTGTGAGGTTACACTATACTACGCTTTTAACTACATTGTTACAGCGTTTTTTTCATAAGAGTGTATAGTGTTTTTTTGCTGCGGTACTTAGGGCTCAGAACCTTGGGACTTTTAGTTTCGGGAGTTGTGGGTGTGGGGCTGCTCATGTAGAACCTTGGAAAGTCTGACCCCTTGAATCCAAATTAGAAGTTCAACAGCGCCGGAGGGGTAGAGTCGTAAGCAGCTGGAAGCACAGTTACTCTCCCGGGGCGTATTCGGCCCTGGCTAGAGCCTTATGATCCCGCAGAATGACGTCTGAGGCTTACCCGCAGAGGCAGCGGCAGCATCCGGCGTTCCGTGGTCCAACGATATAGACTGAACGATGGGTAATTACTGCTATTCCCTCACAATCCGAGGCCTGTTTGCTAATCAACTGTTTGGACATGTTACATTTTGGCTTTGTCCTTTCCGACGTACTTGCCAATTCCTCACTCGCAATTTCACTCACTCACTTACGTACCTACTCACAAACTTACTTACTTTCGCACACTTACTCGTGTTGCTGGTCACCAAGCACATGAACCACTGGCTTCCGGCATGTCCTCCTTCTGAGGGGCCCTTGGTTACCTGAGGCTCATACGCCTCATACGCGTTCCTTGCACCAGGTTGAGGTTTACCCTAAGGTCCCTAACATTTTAGGGAACCTCATCAGAATGTAGGATTTCTGAGACCCCAAAGAGTCCCAAGGGCTCTCCCTAGGAGATTCCGGACCCTCTTGTAAAGAGATACCTGGACCCTTCGGGTTGAGGGGCCCGAAACCCGTAAGTGGGAGAGCCCATGTTGCCAGTTCGGAGATTTGGCACTCCAGGTCCTTGCTGCAACCTGCGTCAATACCTTATACAAGTGCCTCACCCAAAGGCTCCATGTACCTTTATAGTAGATACTTAAGCCCCAAAGTAGTCCCTATATAGGTACTTTGAGGCCTAAGTATCTACTATAAGGGTACATGGAGCCTTAGGGTCAAGCATCTTTGACAGATGATCGTAGAATGCTTCCAGTATGGATAGTGCCGGTTTTCTGCCCAGCAACAGCTTTAATATTCGTACTACGCTGAACGAAAAGGGCAAGAGCTCACAGCAAGCTCCAATACGGAGAGCCCTACTAAACCGCCCTGACGCCCTAAAGTCCTGAAGCCAAAAAGCCCTAAAACCCTCAAGTCGTCTAAAGTCCTGAAGCCCCAAACCCCTAAAGTCCCAAATCCCGAAAGCTCTAAATTCCTAGAGTTTGAACTTAACCTTACACCGTAGTTTCGAAACCCTAAAAGCCCATTTCCCCAAAGCCTCAGACACAGGGTCCCTCTTACAGCATGTTCTTTATTCGGGCTTATGCTAGGGCCCTACAAAAAGACGGGGGATTCTTGGACCTGTCTCCTCTTCCTTGAGTCAAAAACACCTAAGTTCATGGTTTTGGGGTTCAGGATTCAGCGTTTAGGGCTCGGGGTGCAGGATTCAGGGTTCGGGCAGCGGTTTTTTTGGGGTAGTATAGCCCCTATATAATCCCTATATATATAACCAAAAAGCTTTAGTTCCCCATGATACCCGACAAGCAGATAACTTAAGTTACCATAATAGGGGATCTATACGGGTTCCTTTAAGGGATCTATAAGGGCCCCCTGAAGGCATCTATAAGAGTTCCTTTAAAGGCCATGGAACCAACGGGTGCAGGCCTGCCAGCTTCAGCGATGGATCTCGCTTCTGGGAGGGGCCGGCAACCCGGTCTTTCCGAGAAGCTTTCTACCCTTGGGCTCTAAGGGTTCATATGGGTGGTTGTCAATATTAGGGTCCCGTTTGGGGTACCCTAAATATTAGGTGCCGTAGTATTTCAGGGACCCAAAGAGGGCATAAGTTTGAGAGCCGCCCATATCCTAAGGCTTTTGGGCCCAAAGACCATACTAAATACGGCCTTTGACCATACTAAATACGGCCTTTGACCATACTAAATACGGCCTTTGACCATACTAAATACGGCCTTTGGGCTACTCTGAGCCTGAGGGTAAGGTTGAGGCCAGCTAAGGCATCGGGTTTAGAAGGTCAGTCTCCCACAGCAACTCCCAGGAGGTTTAGAGTTTAGGGTTTCCCTACGGGTCTATGTGCCCATGTAGTATACCTAGGCCTTAAAGTACCTATATAAGAGTCCCAGTCTAGATTAATCCACGGAGCCTTAGGGCTTTATGGCACAGGAACCAGGAAGTAGACACTTCAGGGTTTGGGAGTCCCGGATACTCCGCCCATCTTAGCCCCAAATAACCCTGCCCTTTGAAGGGCTTACGTAAGGAACGCATAAAAAAGGAACCCCCAAAAAAGGTGGATTTTAATTACAGGGTCCGGGTGAAGCCTGTCGAGTTCGGCCACTGAGCTGTAAAACACTGAACCTCGACGAACCCAGCAGGCCGCGTTTAGGGTTTAGGATTTATACAGGGTTTAGGGTTTAGGGCTGCGCTTTGGTTTGAGAATGTTGGCTTGGGGGTTGGGGCTCACAGTGGGTTGTATATGGCTGTTAGAGTAGCATTTAGGGCTTAGCATGTTGGGGGATGATGAGTTCCGGGATATCGTGCTGCATTGCTGCTGTCAGCAGTCGTACAGTTTCGGAGTGAGGGCTCAATTTATAGGGTTTAGGGTTTAGAGACATTGCTGTTTGTAAGACTCTTGCGCGGCGAATGGTTCGTGGGGGCCCATGAAAACACAAGCCCTGAATCGAAAACGGCATACATGGCTAGGGTGTAGGTTTTATGAGGGTTTAAATGCTCCGGGACCAGATGTTGCGACAGAGAAGGAATGACGCTAGTCGTGTGCAAATCGTGTCCCTATTCGCTGCCCGACGCCAATACTACTGGACCGGGGCCTATACCCGAAGGGACCCTGTACCCAAACAGTTTATACACTGGCCATTGAAGTAGTCCCTGTTTAAGTACATGGGGGTACATGGACCCTTAGGGATACAGCCCATTTTACACCCTCAACACCAAAGGCACTCCAATGAGGCGCGGTGCCGAAGCGTCCATGCTGTTGAATATAACCCCTAAGGCTCAAAATAGCCCAAAAGCCTTACATAGTATGGTCTTTGGGCCCAAAAGCCTGAAGATATGAGTCCTTAGAGCCAAAGGGTAAGTCAGTTTGAAGAAAGGAAAGGTAAAGAACGCCTTTTAAGTGAGCCCCTTTATGCTTGTATCCGAATCCCCAGCCCAATGCTGAAGCTTATGAGGCCCTGTTTAAAACCCTACGACACGCCTCAAAGCTAAACCCTCATCCAAATCCTTATAACGCAGTTGATACGTCCATGGCATGCCCCAATGCTCCTAAGTACGTATATGGGCGTTACTTCCCCAAATCAGAACCTTAACTCCTAATATAGAAACCTTGAAATAAATTCTACTGTGTATATGTATATATATATATATATATATATGTACAGAGTATAGGTATTTAGGACCCTTTGTGAGGGTTTCGTTTCTTGAGAGCAGGCCACGTCCTGCTGCCTCGTGCGCACGGCCGGGGCCAGGTCGGACCATTCCTACCCTAAGGGCCTATGTGTTCATGCAGTAAAACCCTTGGCTCTAAGGACTCATATTTTGACGCTTTTGGGCCCAAAGACCATACTATGTAAGGCTTTCGGGCTATTTTGAGTCTTAGAGAAAACCAATGAAGTAGCCCCCCCAACAGGGTACTTTAGCCCCTAGAAAGATCTATATGGCTACATGGGTACATGGACCCTTAGGGCCTCAGGGTTAGGGAGAATCTGAAGCGCCACCTAGGTGTTAGGGGTGTTTCTTTGGTTTACCAAGGGCTCTATGGGGGTTCTGCAAAGGCTTTATGAAGGCTCCACAATAGTTCTATGAGGGTTTAGAAAGGGTTATATACAAGGTACTTACAGGATTATATTTTAGGCCCCGAAAGATCGTAGTTTGGTTTTAGGAGTTCTAGTCGTTGCTCGTTTTCTTTGACTCAGCGCTTGCCATTCTGTTTGGATGTGGGGATTTTGGAAGATTCGGGGAATTCTGCAAGGATTGAGGGGCACAGGTTTCTGAACTGATTAGGCTCTCCACCTGCTCTCCACCATATCCTAAGTACCCTCTGTTGGGGGCCCATAGCTTCCCTATTTCATGGTACAAGATGCCACTTGGAGCTTGCCAAGGCGCTTTCGTGTCTGGTGTTGTGTTGGACTCTGGACAACCACACTATAGCGTGCCCAAACAACCGATTCTAATCATTAAGGCCCAACACCCTACTCTAATTACTAAGGACCCTATAATATTAAAACCCCCAATGATACCAAATATAGTAACGCTTAGAGGACCCTTTTTAAGAACCCTTTAAAGGAACCCTACTCTAATCATTAAGGCCCCTCCTCTTTCTGTGGGACGAGCTTCTCACCTCCTGGGCTCGCCTTCGGCAGGCACAGAAAGGCCGCCGCAGTCCGCCAAAAGGCTTCCAGACAGCAGAAGCTTGTCCTAGGCCCTTGTTATGTAGGGTTAGGGTCGAGGGCTTGTGGCGTAGGCTTTGGTATTTAAGGTGGCGAAATATTAAAGTCCAGAGTTGACAAGGTTTTTCTAAGGATAGAGTCCACTTGGAGAGGCAGGGGACTGAGTATATAAGTAGGCTATAAGTAGAGTTAAAGTTATAAGTACCCTAAACGGAGTTACCCCAATTATGTCCCTACTTATCAACGACTTACTAAGTCCCCTGCCCCTCCAAGCAGGGCTTGATTTCAGGTTTCAGGTGGTTAGAGGTCCGGAGCATCTTAGGGTTTAGGGACATAGCTTGAGGAGTTATGCAAAGTCATTCGCGTATTTGACAATCAAGGTACAGAGGACTAACTATTGTGGTTCCATTGCGGGAGCTCGCTGACGCACAGGGAGACCTATTCACCCGCCTGCTTTGGCATCCGTTGGTAAAGACAAGATTGCCAGAAACTTGTTGAGTATAGCTCCTCTAGACATATACAGTAGTAGGGTTTATATAGGGCTTAGGGTTTGTAGGGTTTAGGACCTATCGGCCCCCCTGTCCAAACGAAGATGGCAATGGGGGAATCCTGGGTTCGGAGTTGATGGCAGCTCAAGATGATAATGCACCCTTGAACATAGGTTCATGAATATGGCATGGACAATGGGATTTGGTTGTTGGCCAAGGTTCGGAGATTCCGGTTCTGACGGTAGGTTTGTCGGTGCAGAAACACTGCCACCTCATCGTGGAAGCCTCAAAAAGCCAAACACAGCTGGAGCATGCTATCGCTGCAGTCAGCCTGGGCAAGGTGCAAGGCGGTGCCTCTGGCAACATTGTCCTGCTGTTCGACTCGAACCTGTGGGGGGAGGCCATTACCTGCCCCCACGTGAGGCGACCTCCGGTCGCCAAGGCTGCAGTGCAGAAGATTTGGAAAGCCGTACAGGCGGCCCGACTCCGGCCAGATCAGGGCGGACTCATGGCTCCGCACGACGTGTTGTGCATCGTGGACGGTGGACGATCGGATGAGTCACTCCGGCAGCACTTCGGCATGCTTATGTTCCGCGATCGGTGGTAGTGGTTTGAGATTAAAGCGGATTGCGGAAAAGTCGAGAAGCATCAATCCAACAGTCCTTGTTCCTGAAATGGAAACAACAACTGTTCAAGCTTAGGATCTATGATCTACAGTCGAATTAACTATGGTCCGGGGTTCAGGGATTGTCGGGTGTGCTCCAGTGAGTTCTGTGATGTAACTCCTTTTAGCAATTTTGCGTCCGGCTTTGCGATATATTGGACATGACCCACGCAGCAAGGCAGGGGCTGAAAATTAGAATGTAAACACGAGTCTTGTGAGGAGTACCGAAGCTTCTACGTTTCTCCACCCGGTCGTATTCGTTCAAGGTTTCCACCCTCGTCTGCCCAGCCGCCCCGGGCGGACGACTCCGACAGCAAGGAAGGCCGTCCGTGCTTGCTAATCCTTCCTAGTTGTTGAAGCACCCACGTCTCATGTGTGCACAGACTTTGTTGTGATTTGGTCAGTGATTCGGTTTTCGTCTTAGCATGAGTTTTTCCCGTCTGATGTTCGTGCTTTTGCTGATGATCAACATGCCGATGAATGTCTGTCTTGTCTGCTGGCGGCGGTCTAAATCCCAGGCAGGGCCTGCAAACAGAGGTGCGGAGCTTGGGACAAAACTCTCGCGACGTGAGCTGTCAACCATAGACATCGAAAGTTGTTTCAAAGAGCCACGGATCCTGAATTGTGCATTTCCGTTCATAAGCGCGACAAAATGCGACCGAGGGGCTACGTCGAAAGTGCGAAGAGAAGACAGGATTTCTTTCCGGCCCCTGAAACCCCAAGCCCGTCTGCAACTCCACACCTGCAAGGGCCACCAGGCTAGTGGGTCCTTGTCTGGGTCCTTTTCTACGGTTGCAAAACTATTCTTGGGACCTATAAAGAGGGACCCTGATTTAGAGAGTTTCTCGCAAGTCTGCATGCAGCTGGAGAAAGTCGGAGCATCAGCCCGAGAATGGCTTTGTAAGTTAGGAACGCTGTTTCAGGATGTTTGGGGTCAGCAGATTGCATATTGTCGTTCGGGTTGGTTTAGATTAACCCTAGGCAATGTGCGTGGCAATTGCAGGCTCAAAGAAGCCTCCACAACCGGAAGAACGGAAAGCCAGGTGCCTGGGGTAATATATGGACTCGTGATGTTCTTCCTTAGAGTTCCTTCATGCGTTGTTAGCATAAACACGCCCGTCAACCCTGGTCTTATCCTGCAAACCTCATACACCCTATAAGCTTGATAAGCCTCCAAAGGCTAAATCCTATAATGATTCAGGCTTCTATGTTACCCAGAGGGTCCACAGACACTACTATTCTGGAATTAGGTACCAAAAGACCATCCCTATTATGGTTTTTGGGATCTAGTTCCATAATGGTAGTGTATATGGACCCTCTGGGTTAGCTTCGGGCTTTGGCCTCCGCGACCCGAATGCTTGAACCTTATGGCAAAGTCTACTTGTCCATGTATTAAGGGACCCTTTACGGGTACCATAGGTCTTTAGGGATTACATAGGGTATATGGGTCCAGGTGTCCATATAATTAGTAGATACATGGGCCCTACAGTACCTGTATAAGGACTACTTCAAGGCCAAAGTACATAGCAAAAGATGTTTGCACATGGGCCCTTCATTAGGCTTGTTTGACATTTGGCAAACTCTACTTCGGAGGGTAGGGGTCAGGGTTCATCGGCTAGGGCTGGGGTGGCGCAGGGTCTATATCTATATCGCTTAGGATGACGAAATCTTTGTCTTTTTTCATGAGGGGTCGAAAAGCTGCATCGTTCTGTTTGTCGGCGATTTGTCGTTTATCAAAAGCCAAAGGCTGTCTTATTCGGCTTCCTGCATTACAGCCTTAAGCCGGAGCAGGCCAAGAGTTTGAAAGGAACATCAGGCATCCTTTGCTACACGATCTACCTAACGCCAAATTCTCGCCACAAGTAAGGGTCAACGTGCCCACAGACTCTAGAGTTGCGCCTTCAAGTCCCGAAATACAAGGATTGCATTAAAGGCCAAAGCATGTCATTTATGACTACACGGAATTTTAGTATAGCCGGTACTTAGGTGGCCAAGGTCTTACAGGCTTCTGCAGGTGAGTTTGCACGGCCTGAGGTTCTATGAAGCTTCTGGTTACATTGTTGTTTAGTTTTTGTTTTATCGGATGGTGATTTCCTGTATGGTGATCTCTGAAAGTAGGTCATGACTGCTTTCCTAAGGTGAATATAAGGTTCAAAGGGGTACTGTACCTCTACGGAAGGATTTTGGATATGTTCGGTCCTATAGCTGAAGTCGTTCACGGAGCTAACCGTGCCTCTTATGCAGGCTGTACAGTACATCTACATCAGTTATCAGTGTCATGGGCCTAAGCGTACTTTAAGTAGCGGCTATTCCTAAACCCTAAATCCCTAGCCGTGTCGTCAAGCGTCTTAGTCGGAGGGTTCAACCGTGTGGGCGTCTGCCAGGCAGCTGGACCCAGACGAGGCAGGTGCGCTTACCTCATGCCCCCATCGAGGGCCCAGATTTTTGTAGACGAGTGATGAACAGACAGGACACCATGTCTTTACTGGCTGGGGCCACAGCAACAGGATCCGGATGAATATCGGTATGAAGGCAGGAGGAGAGATTGATTAGGGATTGGTCTACACTGTTCAATTCCCCAAGACTTGCCCCTAAGCCTGCTTGCAGCCCTAAGAGCCTCTGTAGTCTTAAACCTTCTAAACCCGTCATAAATGCATAAAGCCCTGTACGCACCCGGACTGGGTTTCGCAGGGCGCGAGACATGGGATATGGGCGTGCCTTGAAACTAGAGGTGTCTGATTTAGGGGTCGATACATTAGATAAGGAATATGCAGGGTCGATATTGCCTTCCCCTGGTGTCAGCGGCTGTCATTGCTTTACAGTTTTTCGGTCACCCGACTTGATGTGTTTCAGCTCTCGTGTGACACTCGGCCGGCTATCGGCTCCCTTTTGCCCAAACCCTAAGCTGTAAACCCGGAACCCCGTTCGGAGGCCTTAAATTCCAAACCTCTACCCCAAGGCTCAAACTAGATTGAAAGCCGTGTATAGTATGTTCAGTCACTGGGCTCAAAGCTTAATTACTTAATTTGAGTCCTTCGAGCGTATACGGGCTAGACCCTGCCTTGCCACCCTTGAACCTTACAGACGACCCAGAGATGCCCCTCACAGATCCTTTACAGACTTCTAGTCGACTTGTAGCAAGCCCATTACTGCCCTTAAGAGTCCTTCGATTGTGGTAATGTAGGGGCCTTACTAATTGGACTATGGTTTTGGTGCCCTTATACCATAAGTATAAAATGAGGGATTCGCAGAATAGTGTAGGTGATTATAAAGACCTCTAGTATCTCCGCTCCTTCCTCCCTCCTCCCTAGCGCCACACTCCTCCGCCCCCAAAATTACTACTTGTAAGGTGTTTATATCACATAAGAAGGAGCCCCAGAATAGTATAGGTAATGATTAAGGCCTCTATATTATATCCTTATGGTAGCCCTTATAGACCCCTTTAAAGAAACCCTGAGGAGTAGTGTAGGTAGTGATTAAGGCCTCTATATCGCAATTGAAAAAAAGAGTACCCCAAATAGTAGGAATCTTGTTACAAGGACCCCAAAATATGTACCCCTAATTTTCGGAAACCCTAAACCCTAAAACCTAAAACCTAAACAACCCCTACACCCCCAAACCCCCAAACCCTAAACCCCAAACCCTAAAGCCCTAAACCCTAAACCCCTAAACCCTAAAGCCCTTAACCAAAAATTTTCGGAAGCCCTCAGATCACATTTGAAGCTCCGGGTCGGCCTGGAAGGGACCTGCCGAGCCACGGCCAAAGGAAAAGGACCCGGAGCTGCAGAAGCGAGAGAAGGACCCACGTTAGGTTTAGGGCTTGGGGTTTAGGGTTCAGGGTTCAGGGTTTAGGGTTTAGGGTTTAGGGTAGGTTAGGGTTTAGGGTAGTTTAGCGTTTAGGGTAGTTTAGGGTTTGAGGTTTAGGGTAGCTTAGGGTTTGAGGTTTAGGGTTTAGGTTAGGGTTTACTGTTTGGGGTTTAGGGTTTAGTGTAGTTTAGGGTATGGGGTGTGGGATTTAGGTTTAATTTAGGATAGTTTAGGGATGATTTTGTCTTGGGAGGCGGGGAGGGAAGGAAGTACCCAGGTAATATAGGGCCCCTAAATAGTTCAAAAGGTTACCAGTACTATTTTGGAGGTTCCTTAATTTAAAATTACGGACCCAGATAAGGTTTAGGGCCCGGTTTAGGGTTTAGGGTAGTTTTGAGATGATTTTGTCTTGGGAGGGGGGCGAAGAGGGGGGGGGAGGATTGTTTAGGGGTATTATAGAGGTTTAATACTTATGGTTCAGGGATGTCGGGGTTTAGAGTCTAGAGGTTAGTACCGTCAGTGTTGTGTGGTCTTTGGTTTCGTAGCGCACTTTGGCTTTTCGTTTTAGGCCAAGCTCAAAAGACAGTAGCACACGGCATGGGTGTGTGTCGGGAAACTCCTCAGGGCCATGCTTTAGAATTCAAGTGCTCGCGTTCCACCTTACGTCTGAACCCATAACACCAGGACTCCTACTTGGAGGTTTATAGGGTTTCATAAGTGGAAGGATAAGCAAGGCAACTACACACTTATAACCCCACTTATGACTACCCATGAACCTCCAAGTAACCCTTCCATACCATACTCCCATCATCTTAAGGAAGCCCCGACCACCAGAACCCCAACCCCGCAAGACTTACAAAGTCTCAGAGCAGAGGCCATGAGCTTAGGTTCGCGCCCTGAGAGTGGAATCGTGAGTTCCATGACATGAGCCAACAGTGGTAATCACGGAGAGCGATATGCATGATGTTCTTGATGTGTTTAAGTTGTGATGGGGAGCATCCCAGGTGACAGGTGATGGCAGTATTTACTGTTGTTTCCAAACCGACATCATAGCCCTAAACCCTAAACCCCATCCATTCCGTCTCCGACTGTAAGGACAGACTCATTTTCCGCGTGTGCAGTTTTCTGGGGATGCCCGCCCTCCTGCCCCCAATTGTGGCTCTTTTGAAAATGTGAGGGGATGATTCCATTCGTGACGGCCCTGAAAGAGATTTCGCGAGGTGTTTGTTGTGTGTCTCAGTCTCATTATCAGTATGGCCATGGCCGCGCAGCACTTAAACCCCCCAAGCCAACAAGAAGAAGTGGAGTTTAGGGTTTAGTCTGGGGTTTGGCGTGTAAGAGTTTAGTGGTCTAGAAATGACTCTGCGCATAGTCTTGATAAATCCATAAAGTATCCTGTAGTCTTAACCTTGAGGCTACTGGTATACATAGTCATAGTACAGCATACTGTTAATATCTTGGTGTTCTGGGCAACCAAACGACCTAAAGCCATGAGCACTTAACCTGAATCCGTATACTCACAAGGCACTAGAAGCCCTAAGCCCTAAATTCCAAAGCCAGAAAAGCCAGAGCCCTACATCCAAAACTACAACCTTCATGAAAACCCTGAACCCCGCAACCTTGAAACCTCAGACCCTAAAGCCGTAAAGCCTGAACGTACAAAAGCCCTGAATCTTCGTAGCACCTTACCCTCTTTCCAGGAGCGTATGGCGGCGCAGGCAGCCTGGTTGCGGCGGGCGCGAACGGAGGCGGCTGGGGGGGGCATGTCCGGCTTTGGAACTGTCGGGTTGAAGTAAGCATGGCTTGTGATTTGGAGTTCGCTTTTTGTTTTGAGGTAAGGGTCAGTGTTTGGAGGCTTGGGGTACAGGGTGCATGTAAGCAAGGTTTCGCATTTAGCATGTAAGCAAGGTTTCGCATTTAGGGCTTTAGGGTTCTGCGCCAAGATAATCCCTAATCACGATCAGCCTCCCCCCCCTCCAAAAACACTTTCTTTTTTTTGTTTATCTCTCTCTCTCTCTATATATATATGTGTGTAGAAACACACACACACACACACACACCTATGTACATACACATATACTTGCAAATCTTACAAGCCCACTGCTGAGATTTTGTTTAGTTTAGTTATAGCCATAGTCATCATCATGACTTTAATCGCACTCACAGTCCTAATCCTATTCCTAGTTTCCTAACCTTCACCACAAACACAGATCGTACGCACAATCATAGGTGCCATAACCCTAAATAACCATACCCGCAATCAGGGTGAAGAACCCTAAACCCTATATAAATCTCTGAAGCCCTAAACTGACTCACGGTCAGCATGTCCTTTGCTTCCGACAGCCTTGCGAACAACCTGCTCATCGCTTTGCTTCAGGATCCCTCAACAGGACCGTGCTTCGGACACCGCCTCGCAGGCCGGCGGATCGCAGGCGGATCCCATTCCTTTAAATCCTGCCTCCCCGGTGACCAGTGTGCCGGTGGCACCCAAGGCACCCCCACCTCCGGCCTGTCGAGCAGCCTGTTGACAGCCTGCTTTGGACCCAGCTTTGCCATGGAGGTTTGGGGAGTTGCTTTGGACACCTACGATGGATGGCTCGGATATGGGCAACATGAATGGTCGGAGTTTTGGAGCACATTGGAGTCCCGGCTCCAACCCCCAGAAACTCTAAGACCCAAAATCCTTAAAAGCCCTAAAAACCAGAAAACCCCGAAACACCAAATCCCTAAAACCTTATAAATCCCTAAAACCCTAAACCGGAAACCCTAAAACCCCAAATCTCTAAAGCCACACCCTAAAACCTAAAAACACCAACTCCCTAAAACCCTACAAACACTAAATCCGTAAACCCTAAATCCCAAAAAACACTAAAAACCCCAAAACCCCAAAACACCAAATCCCTAAAACCCTATGCAGCATGAGGAGCTCCGTTCGGAGGCGGCCAGAAAGGAGAAGGAATCCAAAGCCCGGTCCTGTTCGAGCTTTGGACAGAGTTCAGGGTTTTAGGGCTTTTGGGTTTAGGGGTTTAGGGGCTTTGGGTTTAAGGTTTTAGGGTTTTAGGGTTTAGGGTTTAGGGGTTCAGGGTCTGCGGCTTAGCTAAGTAGAGTCCTTAAGATGTTTTGTTCATGATTATCCACATAAAGCCCGCGGGAATATTGAAAGTGTTGGTTTTCTATGATGGTTCTAGGGGGGAGGGTGTATGGTTAGGGGTTTAGGCTGCAAGGTTTACTTTAACCCCAAATATCATCTTTTTTAGAATTCCCTATCATGACCTAGCTCGGGCATAGTTGGAAATCACGGCGTGGGGGTGGAGAAAGATCTCTAGTCTACAGTGTCGTAATGTTGTTTAGGGTTTTAGGGGTCAGGGGTTTAGGGGTTTAGGGCCTATTCAGGGGTTGGGGTTTTCGGGTTTAGGGTTTATGGGCTTAGGGTTTTGGGTTTATGGGCTTAGGGGTTTTGGTTTTAGGGTTTGGGGTTTTGGGTTTATGGGTTGAGGGGATTAGGGTTTCAGGGTGTGGGGTTTTGGGTTTATGTGTTGGTTCTCCGGTGTCGGTGTGTCAGGGTTCGTCTTTTTCTGATAAGATGTTGCGGGTATAGGGCTAGGACCTAGAGTAGGCCTTTATTCCCTTTTTTAGGGTTCAGGTTCCCTTCTAAGCCCCTTTAAACCCAAAAGTGCACCCTTTTGTTCCTGAGTTACTCTTGGGTCTAGTGGGGGTTAGGGCTGTAAGGGTTCATTTCCAGTGTTTCGGGTTGGTGGATCTGCTAGGCTCTCTGTCTCCATTACATCAGCTTTCAGATTAGGGAGACCTTGATTGAGAGCCCTATCTTGATTCCGCACTGCAATCCTAGTAGTAGAGTAGGTAACCTTCAACCTGTGTCGGGCACCGTAATCCCTATACAATTCCAGTGTACTCCCAGAGGTTAACCTTCAGTTCCCAAGTAGACTGGACGAGTAAGCAAGCCTACGCCCTAAACCCTAAGCCCTAAACCCTAAACCAAGCCTGCAAGCCCAGCTCTTATCAGGCCGCAGGCTGGGAAATCCCCACCCCTTTGAAGCATAAAGCCCGAAGGCCCTAATCTCTGAAGCCGAAGCCCCCGAACTCCTAAACACTGAACATCAACACCCGAAACCCAAAAGCCCTGAACCCGGCAACAAATCTAACCCGGTGTAGCATCTTGAGTTCTGTAGAGTCTTAGGGTTTAGGGTGGTTTTAGGAGAGCTCCCGGCTCTCGAGCCCCAAGCCCTGAACCTTGAACCCTAAGCTCTCGTAAAGCCCTAAGCCCTATAACTCTCAAACCCTCAAGTCCTGAATGCTTAAACCTTAAAAGCTTGTTTAGTAGGGGATTTATAACCCCACTTTATGACTCCCCTAAACCCCAGCCCCCAAACCTCAAACCTTCAACCCTCTCTCTTAAACGCGAAGCCCTGTGGGGGTCTTGGCCAGCCATGTTTCGACAGCGGCTGCCTGCGTCTCTGGGAAGACTATGGCCGTGCTTGCAGCCGAGACGTCTGAAGGCTTCAGGCCTTGGGGTTTAGGGGTTAGGGTCTTAGGGTCTTAGGTCTAAGGCCTAGGGTTTAGAGTTTAGGGGTTTAGGTTTTTTAGGGTCTTAGGGTCTTATCTTCAGGCCTCTGGGGGTGGTTGGGTTTGGATCAACCGTTGCGGGTTTAGGATCCTAGGTTTAGGTCTAGATTAGGCATCAGGGTGAAAGTTAAACGATGCAGGGTATGAGGCCGGCGGCCTATCCATCTGTAGTCGTCTGGGTATTCAGCTGAACTGACCCAACCTGTTACAACTGCATGAAATGTTCCCACAATCAACCGCCTGGCGCTACGACGTTCAACCTCCAACATCTTGAACCTGCTCGGTCAGCCGGAGAGGGGGGAGGAGGGGGGGGAGGGGGGGAGCCCGCATGTGGCCTTGGCGGATTAGCAGAATATCCGAAATCCACCGATGTTGCTTGACCTTGGCCACCCAAACTTTTCGTGTGGACTAGTTGGCGCCCTCCGAATGCCTTACCCAAAGGCCCAAAAGTAGTTCCTTTTGGGGGTTCGTATATGGAAGGCTATGAGGTAATCCCAAACAGGAACTACTATGGGGCCTCTGGGTAAATCGTACACCTGATTTTGTCCATCAGCCCTGAGTAAGCGGAGGTGGGCGTTCAAGTGCCCATACAAGACTCGGGCCATACTTAGTTGCTTGATAAAGCATACACTAGCTAGGTTCCTGCACCCTTTGAGATTGGAGCTTGATCAGTCTGCTTTAGTGCTTACATGTGGACATGGCTTTCCTCGACAGTTCTTTGGGGCTCCATCCCTACGTTCGGGCTGTTTGCGCTTCGAGCCTGCAGTTAGCAGTAGCGTATGCTCATGCTTTGATGGTTTCCAGCAAGCAATGCAGAAGTCAGTCTTCATGGGGGTTTCCGAACATAGGGGATCCTAATATAGTAATAGTATACATATGTATATCTACCCCTCAGAAAAGGTTCATCACACTTAAACAAAAACCTCAAAGAAAAGCCCAGTTTTGTCCAGGCAAGAGCCGCTTCAATCTCATCCGTCAACGTGCCACGCAGCAGCACGTGGATTACTTGAGGCGCTCCCCCTGATCCTCTCAAACGAAATTTGGTGTTTAGGGGTGTTAGGGTTTATGTGTTTTTTGTGTTTTTTTTTCTTTTTTTTACGTTTCTTAGGGTTTTCAGGTTTTTTAGTGGTTTATAGGGTTTAAAGGGTTTGGGTTTTGGGTTTTAGGGTATTGGGGGGGCATCCCCCATTGAGGGGCTTCTTGAATTGGGGGGGTACCTTCTTTCAAGTCCAAGGCGAAGTTGGTTTCCCTTGCTTCTGACACTTCCGTAGCGAATTCTATCAACTTGCATAGCGACAACGACAAATCACAGCTCGAGATTTCGGCAGTGCTACGTCTGCAGACACCAGGGGAACGAATCGTGGCTCATTAGAAGCGCGGCTCACAACCCCAGACTCATTGCATGGCCAGCATGTAAAGCTGGGCCATTTTTAGCAAAAGCACGTGTAGTACGTATAGTTTAACCTTGCAGCAGTCCCTCTTCAGGTGCTTTGCAGCCAAAGAGATAAAGTTGTTTGGGCACATGGACCGTTAGGGTGAAACTCTACAAAGTGTTCTCCTTGACTTGCTCATATCAGGATAGAGCCAGACTCTTACCTTTGGTTAGTAGGGAATGGAGGAATGGGGTACAGTTATAACTACTGTTACTACCATGCTTCCATTCCCTGCTAACCAAAGGTAAGGTCTGTCAGCCCTGAAGGATGTAGACCCCAGCTTTGTCATAGACATGGTCAAGCCAGACACTGGCTCTTCACTGCAAGCGCCGAATGTCGCCCATCTAGGAGTCCAGTGACCTACATAGCAGGTTCTTGTGCCTCAATCCCAATAGTCTCATCTCTACTTGATGGTACTCACAATCCAGCAGGCCTCTTCGCACCCGCTCCCATAAGGGTTCCTCCGTTAAGGGTTCCTTTAGGGGTGGCTTTAGGGGTTCCTTTAAGGGTTTCTGCATCGGCAGGCAGCTGGATCCGCCGCGCCCGCAGCGGACTGCCGAGATCGAGCCACAACTTCGTAGCAGAGTAGGCCCGGCCGCCAATTCAGAATTATACATATATATATATATATATATATATGTATACACATGTGTGTATGTGTATATATATATATATATGTATATATATATATATATAGTTGCCTTCTGTGCTCAGACTCTTAGATGTTACAAGATACCCAGAAACTGGCGGAGTCAGACAAGGAAACTGGACTTGCCCAATACCTTGGAAACCTTTTTCCCCCGCTTTAAGCCCTAATAGCCCCAAATCCTCCCCCTGACTTCTCAAGAGGCCACGTGCATCGCCGATCTGCTTAAACCGTCCATCCTCGAACCCTACACCCGTAAATATGAAACCTAAAGCCCACGGCCCTGTAGAACTGAGTGTATACGGCCCGGGTCAAGTCCTCTAGAACCTTCTAGATCGCCCTCTGCACCCTTTACACGAGTCTCCTTGAGGTGATCTTCGGACGACTTTCAATCACCCGGAGATCATGCATCAGCCGACGGAGATCCTACATGGGTTTCGGTTCTGCTTTTGGGGATTAGGGTTTACCTATAGTCTCCATTGTAGTTCCTTTTTTGGTTAACCAGTTTTATGGTTAGGCTCCTATAATAGAGTTTTTGGTTAACCAAAAACAGGAACTACAATGGAGACTATAGGTAGGGGTTGCATCTAAAATGAGAGTCTTCGAGTGTAGAGGGGGTTTGCAAATATTTTGGTGATTGAAGATTGAGGCCTCTCAGGGTTGTGACTCAAGGAGTTTATCTGGGTTTAGCGTTGTAAAACGTAGGATGTTGAAAAGGTTTGGGGCGTTAAGGTTTAGGGTTTTAGGGTCTTACGGTTCTCCAGGGATGGCGTAAGTAGGTTTTAGGGTAACTAGAGTTCAAGTAGTCAAGCCGTCTCTACTTTGGCCCGAAACTCAGAGGGTCCATATAGATCTCCCTTATGGAGTTACGTTCCCAAAGCCATAATAGGGATGGCTTTTGGGGATTTAAAATTCCATACAGTACTGGTAGTACAGAAATCGACCCTCTCGGAAAGGTGTCAGATAGGGATTCTTTGACTTGAACCCTGAAGGTGACCTGTTGAGGGATCGGCATCATCGTGTCTGCACTTTCTTCCCGACCGGGTAGTGGAACTCATAAAAACTTGCAGTGTAGCCAGGCTTAGTTTAGATGCTTGCAAGACCCGTAAGGTAAAAGCCAGAAAGTTGGAATATGATTATCCTAACCCTTCTATGGTACATTATAGGGTATCCTACCATGAAACCATATTCCAACTTTCTGGAGTTTCCTATATGCTCGTAAGACATGTAGCTCTGAAAACCCATCCGCATCTAGACGTCTCTCAAGATCTCGAAGCCTGAGGCCTGACCCTTCAAGTCAATGGTTGGTATACCTCCCCAAAAGGGTCCTGAGTAGCTGTATAGTAGAATGTAGGGTTTGCATGTGGGGGTTTATTAGTACCAGTAAGTGCGTGGGTCTACTTTTTTTCATTCCGAGGAAAATATCTAGAATTTTTTAATTTGGTTTACTTTTCCCGCTGGATTACTTTTTTGTGTTCGAGGGTTTGGTTTACTTTTCCCGCTGGGGCGTTTTATGCTTCGTGTCTGTGAGGGTGCATTTCAGATTCCAGGGTCATTCCGGCTGGGTTTGATTGAGTTTATGTATGTATATATATATATATATATGCATAAATTAGGGGCCATAATCGCTGAGGTGGCTGCGCAATCCGCCGCATTGTCTCAGCTTCGGCTGCAAGAAGAGAGGTGAACCCAAACCCTTAAAATATACTAAAGATCAGCCATTCTAGCCCTTATGAATGAGTTTAAAGTTATATATTTATATAGCTTTGTCTGAGGCTGTAACAGCGGTTCTGAACCCTATAGAAGCCCGATATAGCCCTTTCTGAGCCTGTAACAGCCGTTCGGAAGACTATGGAAGCCCTGAAATATTGAAACCTGTACAAACCCCTTAGAAGATCTTCTATGTATATAGACCTTAATATATAAAAAAAAAGCCTGAATATACAGGGGGTCCGTTCCCCCTGTATATGGCTCCAAATATATTTAGTCTCCTATATAGAGCTCTCATAAACTGGACAGACTTACATAGCAAAGCCGCACCGAAGCCTAATTAGTCGTCGGCATGCTGGTCATGGCCGAGAGAATTCAGAATTCAGACGTTTGGAGGTGCGCCCTCCCCCATGCTTGCTGTGGTGCAGTCAGTCCTTGTGGCGCTTGATTTGCTAAATGGGTTGCTGCCTTGGTTGACAAACTCCAGTTTGCAGCTGTTCTCCTCACAGCTGGCATGCTCAGGTACAAGTTGCAGCAGCATGTATAGACAAGCAGTTAGCTAGTTTCGAGCAATGCGGTGACAATTCGAGTTTCGGAGTGCTGAGTTGAGGGATGTGGTGCTAGTTCGACTTTGCAGTGTCATAGTGCAGTGCTCCTTTGAAGGACCATGGCTAAATTCGCTTCCCTGGAAAACCTCCATACCGCATGGCTGCGGGACAGGGAGATCGCTCAACGGCTGGATGCCGGAGGGCGTTTGGTTCGGTCCTATGATGGGCTCTTTGTCAGTGCTTCTGAATTGCATTGTGTGCATAACAAAGCCTTGCTGACTCCATACATGATTCGGCAACGCCGAGAGAAAACCCTTGACATTCCAGATGTTGAGTCGTTGAAATCAGAGTTGAAGGCTTTGTATCAGGCCCGGCTTGCACAGAAGGAGAAGCATGGGAAGAAACAGCCAAAGGCTGTGCTTGAAGCCAGCATGGCTTTGGTTGAAGGAAATTGCCATCTTGATGCCAAGACCATGAAACGCCTTCTGTCTTATGCTCGGGCTCGGTTCTTGAAGCAGGGTGCAAAGGTTAAAGAGACTTTCCTGCAATACTGTTTCGAGTGTAGTGTTGAGCTATATGCTGCTGGATCATCGTTGCTGTTTTTGATGCCCAGAATCCGGACTTCGCCATTCTGCTGAGCTACTGGGGCGATGAAGATTCTTGCCTGCAACACCATGGTTGAAGGAGTGCATTGTCAATGTCCTTGCAGTGTAGGCAGCATGCAGTTCATGAACAAATATCATGTAAGGACAAGTATCCAAAGGGCGGAAAGTGCACCCGTTGGAGTTGCAAAGAGGTTGAAGCTCGGGCTGAGGAGGACGAAGCCGCAGGCCTTCATGATGCAATGCAAGAGGGTTATGAAGGAGAGGAGGAGGAGGATTGGGAAAATGATGAGGTGGTTGAGCCTCCATGTGTGGAGGAAAGCCATGCAGAGAAGCCACCCAGCAAGCCCGTGCAAAGCGATGGAGAGAAGCCCCCCAGCGAGCCCATGCAAAGCAATGCAGAGAAGCCCCCCAGCGAGCCCGTGCAAAGCCATGCAGAGAAGCCGCCCAGCAAGCCCATGCAAAGCCATGAGAAGCCTGGTGTCATTCATACTGACAGTTCGAGGTCCATTGGTAGTTTGGCAAGCAGTGCATCGCTGGCGACGACGGTTCTAGAGACTCCAGATCCCAAGCACAAGTGCTTTTCAGAAGCAGGTAATGGGCAGATCACGCCATCCCCTCCCTCGTTGCCTGTGCTCGTCAAGGAGGTGTTGCTGGTGGTAGACTCACCTAAAAAGGTCATTAAGCAGGAGCCCGTGGACAAGACCCTGGCTGATGTTTTGGCTGAGACGGACGCCTTTGACCGAGAGGCAGCTTTGCGGGAGTTGGCGAAGCTTGAAGCAGAGCTGTTTCTGAGCTCATACTATGTCATGTTTGTGGATTCGTAGCCATGAGGTGCATGTGTTGACATGTATTTTGAACTTTATGGTTTGTCTTCGACTCATTACACAGCCAAGTTTACACTTGGAGACTTCGCGCGGGAAGCCGGATCCGAGCCAGATTTCCCGAACCTTGGATCTTGATGGGTGTTCTCGAAAGAAAGCTCATTTGGGTTCAGCTGATGTGAGAGCATGATGACAGTCTGATTTGTGTTAATTTGAGGACGTGAGCTCGCCTGGTCCAATGACAATGATGAGACGCAGGTGGCTACCGAGAGCCAGATCACGGAAGCACTGGCACAGGCTGCAAAGGACAGGACTCCTGAAAGGGTCCCGAGTGAGACTAGTCCAGCAACCAAGCGGGTCAGCCAGCTTTGTTAATCATCATGTGCAATACAAGGTCATTCAAAAGATTTGTAATCAAACAAGTCATTATTTTAGTGGGGGCTAACACTGGGACCCTACAACACTATATACAGAATACATACAAGGTTATGCTCGCATGGGGTATATTATGGTTTTAACTTTATATACATGCATTATATATACATGGCTTGGATGTTTTCTTACAAAGCCTGCTAGGGCTCCTTGGGACTACTGGTATAGCTGTTGTATACGTGTGTAGACTAGTTGTTGTATAAGTGCATGTGAAAAAAAGTGGTGTAGTGTGGTGCTTACTAGAATGAAAAAATTCATCATGTGTTGGACACGATGCTAGACATACCCAGGATGATATGGAGAAGGAGCCGGAGCTTGCAAGGGCCAAGGCGGTTGAATCTCTTGTGCCAGTTGTGCCTGATCCACCTGCCAAATGGCTGAATGTAGAACCATGTCATGTTACTGTGTTTCCTTGTGTTGACTGTGAATGCTGTGCTGTTTCTGAGCATCTCAGGTTGTGACTCGGGAGGACCAACTTTTAGCTCGGCAGCAGAGAAAAGCTGAGGCCGAGGCCAAGAAGCTGCAGCAGAAGAAAGATAAAGAAGAGAAGGAGCTGAAGAAGAAAGAGAAAGAAAATAATGCTCACAATGAAGAGATTGCAGATAAGAAGACTCGGAGGACAGCTGCTAAGAGCAAGGCCAAAAAACAGGCCGCTGAACCAAAGGAGCCTCCTGTGGCTGGGGATGAATGTGAGCAGGGAGCTGAGGGTGAGGAGCCCACGCCATCGGCCCCAGCCTGTGGTGGTGGAAGGGCCCGAGGTGGTGGCAGGGGTCGGGGCGGTAGGGGTCGGGGCGGCCGGGGCCAGAAGAGGGCAGCAAATCAAGAGCAGATCAACCCGACCCCTGTGAAGCGAGTCCGTGGAAAGCAAGCAGGCAAGGGAGCAGCAGGTGTTGCTGTGCCTGAGGAGGGGGATGCACAGCCTGCAAGGGCAGGCAAGAAGAACAAAGCTCCGGATGTGTGCGATGAGGAGCAGGCTGCAGGGCGACGCAAAAGGAGGAAGAGTGGCCTTGCCGAGACCCTCGAGCAAGGGAAGGCTTTGGCAACGAGCAAGGCAGAGGCGCTAGCGCAGGGCGTTTCCCCAGAAGAGGAGGCATCTAGACCCAGATATGTTGTGGTTTTCGTTGTGTGTGCAGAGAGGATGAGAGATTCATTGCATGATGGATGTTGTGGTTCAATCAAGATATGTGTGCTCATATGTTGCCAAGGAAAAGACCCGTTGCAAGGGTCTCATCTTGAAGACCAATGGCACCCTGAACAATTACACTTTGATGGTTTATTGGTCACGGCCTGGTGTTGGCATCAAG